GGAAGAACAAACAGATTCTAGTGAGGAAAAGACACTGGCGTTAGATAGGACACACACTGTAATAACATGATAAACGTACTTGTCCGGGAAATAAAGGCAGACCAGAAACGAAGAGAAGAGAAACAGTGATGTGACAAGGTGAAGATGAAATGGGGTTAGCAGGCCGTGAGAGGACAGGACAAAACCACTTGCCACAAAGTCGCTTGAGCGTATTGGGCCGCCTTATGACAAGACCTATATTTTACAGACCAATCAGTGCATTATGGGTGATGTATGGTCAACATCACGCCGGCCACCTTTAAGTCCCAGGAATTTATCTAGTACCCATTTAAGGCTTGGTCGACATGGGAGCCAATGTCCTCTTTGAAAACAGTCAAGACTTCGTCAGAACGTGAATCCACGATCTTCGGTGAGCGTCGAGCCGCTACACCAGGACCGCTCTGACACGAAGATGAAGGGTAGAGGAAAAACAAAGGTAACAAATGCCTCCACTTGGGTTTCCAGACAACGTCTGTACAGACTTTAACGCAACGTCACTGGGGGTAGCTTACTGGGAGAAACGGCTGTCAGGTCTGTTTGTTTTGTACTGTCATTTATCTTCATGTTTAGTCAGATCATGGCGACATGTTTTCGTGATCATCAGAGTGGGAATGTATCAACCACTGAAGTCTCCGGCTTTCTGGTTATAAACACGGGGCTATGAAACTAGAGTTGCTCCCTGCACATCTGTATGTACGCCAAGTACAAAATCACACTTTCCACTTTCAAGGTCATATCTTTGCAAACATATCATATATGTGACAGTAAGATCTTTCAGAAACATTCTTGGCCTGTTACACAGAGACCACAATGCAACCAACGAGCTTCACCGCAATTGAATTATGAACCTCTTTTAACTATAATGAAACAAACAGAAAATACAGTGGGACGGACATGCAATACGATCCAACAACCACCCCCCCCCCCTTTTTTTTTTAAATACTACAAGGCTCGGTACAGGGGAAGAGGTGAAGAGTCAGAACAAGAAAGACGTGCACACAGAAAGCGACTGACTGGACCGGCCTTAGGCATGCAACCAGAAGTCCTTTGTGCAGTGAGCTGAACAGCAGCATCCGGTGACCCAACGACACGCAGCCTTACGGGCTGACTACAAAGATGATGATGATGTACATGATAAGATTGTGTGATGCGTGTGTGTCATGCGAGTGTGTCATGCGTGTGTGTCATGCGTGTGTGCCATGCGTGTGTGCCATGCGAATGTATGTGTCATAGGTGGATGTGATGTAAGCGCACGTAAAGATATTAAAACAGTGCCTTTTAGAAATTGAAATAATTCTCCATCGATCTACTTTTGTTCGCTTGGAATAGATTATTAAAACAGACTGAAACAGATTTTCTCAAAAAGATTGAAACCGTCTGTTTGAAACAGATTGTCTGAAACAGACTGTTTGAAACAGACTGTCTGAAACAGACTGTTTGAAACAGATTGTCATAAACAGATTGTCAGAAACAGATTGTCATAAACAGATTGTCTGAAACAGACTGTTTGAAACAGACTGTCTGAAACAGATTGTCAAAAACAGATTGTCTGAAACAGATTGAAGACTGAAAGAGATTGAAGACTGAAACAGATTGAATACTGAAACAGATTGAAGACTGAAACGAACTGCCTGAAACAGACTGTCTGAAACAGATTGTCTGAAACAGATTGAAGACTGAAACAGATTGTTTGAAACAGATTGTCTGCAACAGATTGTCTGTAACAGATTGTCTGAAACAGATTGTCTGAAACAGATTGTCTGAAACAGATTGTCTGAAACAGATTGTCTGAAACAGATTGAAGATTGAAACAGATTGTCTGAAAAAGATTGAAAATGGCTGAAATCCTATTCAATGCTTTCCGAAACGAATGAAAAATATGGTTTCTAACACTGACTGTCGAGTACAAGTCCTTGGTGGTTACGAATTGGTTGTGAAACCAGAACGGGGTGGTTAGTCTGTATATAGTGGGTACGTCTTCTTTTTCGCGTTCACCAGCTGTAAACTCTGGCGGAAAGTTTTGGTTGTTCATCCACTGCTGGACTGCAGTCCTGTTCCAGAACCTGAGTGTTGCGCGTGCATCCGTTTTACAGACCTTACTAATTTGTATGCAGACTGCTGGTTACTTGCCTCTCATGCAGATGCACTCCGACTTCAAAGGAAACTCCTAATTAGTCGACGGCAGTACCGGAGTACACACTAAAGCCTCTGACCAACTACCAGCAAGTAATCCCGTCATTTTCAAGTTTCTCAGATCATGACTTCTCCCCGAAAACACCCCCCCCCCCACCTCCCACACCTCCCCCCACCTCCCACACCTTCCCCCCCCCCCACACAATTTAAACAGCCAAGCTTAGGTATTTATTCACCAGAGCCCACTGTAGCTACTTTCTGCCGCAGTCTACTTCAGCAACACAGCACAGGCACCGACTGTGTCAGGGATTCCACTTTACAAATGTCTGCTTGTAGTAGTTTCCAATATGGCTCCAACAAACTTGACCCATACTGTTAGACCAGGCTTATTTAACTGGGAACCCGCAAAGACCTAACTTCAAGTGGCCCGTCGATTACTGCTAACGTCATTGTGTAAATCAGCTTTCTGTGTTTGGGTTGGGGGCTACCAGTCCGAGACGATCGTCATTTTTTAAAATGTTCGTCCCTAAGTAAACTTTAGTTGAAAACCCCGACTGTAGTCAAAGATATTACTGTAAACGATAATAGTGTGTGTAACGGTTAAAGTGTGATGGTAGTGTATGTGACCGTTAAAGTGTGATAGTAGTGTATGTAACCGTTAAAGAGTGATGGTAGTGTATGTAACCATTAAAGTGTGATGGTAGTGTATGTAACCGTTAAAGTGTGATGGTAGTGTATGTAACCGTTAAAGTGTGATGGTAGTGTATGTAACCGTTAAAGTGTGATAGTAGTGTATGTAACCGTTAAAGTGTGATGGTAGTGTGTGTAACCGTTAAAGTGTGATGGTAGTGTATGTAACCGTTAAAGTGTGATGGTAGTGTATGTAACCGTTAAAGTGTGATGGTAGTGTATGTAACCGTTAAAGTGTGATGGTAGTGTATGTAACCGTTAAAGTGTGATGGTAGTGTATGTAACCATTAAAGTGTGATGGTAGTGTATGTAACCGTTAAAGTGTGATGGTAGTGTATGTAACCGTTAAAGTGTGATGGTAGTGTATGTAACCATTAAAGTGTGATGGTAGTGTATGTAACCATTAAAGTGTGATGGTAGTGTATGTAACCGTTGAAGTGTGATGGTAGTGTATGTAACCGTTAAAGTGTGATAGTAGTGTATGTAACCGTTAAAGTGTGATGGTAGTGTGTGTAACCGTTAAAGTGTGATGGTAGTGTATGTAACCGTTAAAGTGTGATGGTAGTGTATGTAACCGTTAAAGTGTGATGGTAGTGTATGTAACCGTTAAAGTGTGATGGTAGTGTATGTAACCGTTAAAGTGTGATGGTAGTGTATGTAACCATTAAAGTGTGATGGTAGTGTATGTAACCGTTAAAGTGTGATGGTAGTGTATGTAACCGTTAAAGTGTGATGGTAGTGTATGTAACCGTTAAAGTGTGATGGTAGTGTATGTAACCGTTAAAGTGTGATGGTAGTGTATGTAACCGTTAAAGTGTGATGGTAGTGTATGTAACCGTTAAAGTGTGATAGTAGTGTATGTAACCGTTAAAGTGTGATGGTAGTGTATGTAACCGTTAAAGTGTGATGGTAGTGTATGTAACCGTTAAAGTGTGATGGTGGTGTATGTAACCGTTAAAGTGTGATGGTAGTGTATGTAACCGTTAAAGTGTGATGGTAGTGTATGTAACCGTTAAAGTGTGATGGTAGTGTATGTAACCGTTAAAGTGTGATGGTAGTGTATGTAACCGTTAAAGTGTGATGGTAGTGTGTGTAACGGTTAAAGTGTGATGGTAGTGTATGTGACCGTTAAAGTGTGATAGTAGTGTATGTAACCGTTAAAGTGTGATGGTAGTGTATGTAAACGTTAAAGTGTGATGGTAGTGTATGTAACCGTTAAAGTGTGATAGTAGTGTATGTAACCGTTAAAGTGTGATGGTAGTGTGTGTAACCGTTGAAGTGTGATGGTAGTCTGTGTAACCGTTAAAGTGTGATGGTAGTGTATGTAACCGTTAAAGTGTGATGGTAGTGTATGTAACCGTTAAAGTGTGATGGTAGTATATGTAACCGTTAAAGTGTGATGGTAGTGTATGTAACCGTTAAAGTGTGATGGTAGTGTATGTAACCGTTAAAGTGTGAAGGTAGTATATGTAACCGTTAAAGTGTGAAGGTAGTGTATGTAACCGTTAAAGTATGATGGTAGTGTATGTAACCGTTAAAGTATGATGGTAGTGTATGTAACCGTTAAAGTGTGATGGTAGTGTATGTAACCGTTAAAGTGTGATGGTAGTGTATGTAACCGTTAAAGTGTGATGGTAGTGTATGTAACCGTTAAAGTGTGATGGTAGTGTATGTAACCGTTAAAGTGTGATGGTAGTGTATGTAACCGTAAAAGTGTGATGGTAGTGTATGTAACCGTTAAAGTGTGATGGTAGTGTATGTAATCGTTAAAGTGTGATGGTAGTGTATGTAACCGTTAAAGTGTGATGGTAGTGTATGTATCCGTTGAAGTGTGATGGTAGTGTATGTAACCGTTAAAGTGTGATGGTAGTGTATGTAACCATTAAAGTGTGATGGTAGTGTATGTAACCGTTAAAGTGTGATGGTAGTGTATGTAACCGTTAAAGTGTGATGGTACTGTATGTAACCGTTAAAGTGTGATGGTACTGTATGTAACCGTTAAAGTGTGATGGTACTGTATGTAACCGTTAAAGTGTGATGGTACTGTATGTAACCGTTAAAGTATGACGGATCACGATGAACAGAGACACAGGTGATGCTCTAAACAGGAAACTATAAGTCCAGCTAGGAAGACTCACCTCCACAATTTGCCCAAGGTCTTGCTGAGCTCTGCGTTGTGCAGGTGAGGGTACTGGTCAGCCAACTTCCTGCGGGCAGCTTGCGCCCACACCATGAAGGCATTCATCGGCCGCTTGATGTGTGGTTTTCTTTTCTCACCGCTTTGGTTTCTGGCAGGCGTTGTGACTAGTGACCAGTCGTATCCTTCCAGGACATGAGAAACCGCTTCCTGGATTTGCTGAGAGAAACGAACATCCTCCCCGCCAACTTCAGGAGCGTTGAAGATAGTTCCTTGACCAGCAGAACCAGAGGTTCCATGGTGAGGGGGCAGCGTGCAGGGAATCTCTATAGTCTTCTTGGATTCGCCTGCCTCGCGGTGAAACGGCTGAGTCACGAGGTTTGTGGTCAGCCTTGGAGAGGACGAGCTAGTGTGGAGGGGTGAGCGACTTCTTTCTCTGTCGTTCATGGCTGAGGTGGCCACTCAAAGTTTGAGAAATGTTCTCAAGGATGAGTTGAAACTGATGGTCAAGTCTACGGCCGAGCCAGCTGTGAACCAGTTAAGGGGTGCTAGTGCTAACTGACAAGTTCACAAACAGATGGCCTCAGTGCTTCTGATTATCTTCGCGTGCCTCACACGTGCAGCTGGGAGACAATCTAGGTCATGGCGTTACTAATCTTTCTGTTGTTGTCTCCAGACAAGGTGATCAGACAGCAGTTGATGGTCCGGTCTGTGAACCGAGAAGCAAACTCACATGATACCAAAATATCACACAAAATATTTTACATACAGTAAACAGTTGAGGTTCTATTCACCTTTTCCCCGGCCCATCTACACACTGGCTGACCTTTCATTCATACTTTCTCAGATTGTTCTACGTCAGAGGGGTGTCACGTTGTCTTGTCTCCAATTATATTAGCGCCGATGTCGCGTGTTTTATACTACACGACTACACAGTTTTTAACGACCCCAGAACATCTAGAATTGGCCCTAACCCAAACACTCCTTCCCACAGCCTAAGCCTTGGTCTCAAGAGAGACTCTTTTCGAAGAAAACAGTACGTGACACCCCTGTGACCTAGACCAGATTGAGAAAGTGTGTAGATGGGCCGGGAAACATGAATAGAACAACTATAGACAGTACAACACTCGCAACATTCCCATAAATGTCTCGTCGCCAAAGCCAATTCACAGTTCCAAGATAAATATGGCAGTTCTAGTGAGAGACCAAATTTTCGCCTCGCCTTTCTTTTGATCACTAAGTGTGTCTACCAGACACTTAGGGGTCAAATGTAATTTCTTTTATGACCCCAGTAATGTATCTGAACAAATCAAAGTCAGCAGAAGGGCAGTCAACTTACAACGGATCTACAACACACATAAATAAATAAATCATGCGTGAAACATACGGGCGGGGGCAGATCAGTTCTTTCAGAGGCCATTTTACATTCTTCGGCTGAGTGCCCTATACAGGTGAACTCAACAATGTGATCGACCAGAAAGGAACCATCATTGACAAATTTACAGTACCGATAGCCATTATTTTAACGTCGATCCATGTGACATCTCTCCATAATGTAGGGTGTCCGTTTATTGTGTCCAGCAAATAAAATATCGTCTATTTGTCCCCAATGTGGAATGCCCTTCTAGTTGTCCCCAAAGTAGAATGTCTGTCTACTTGTCCTCAAATTAAAATGTCCGTCTATTTTGTCCCTCATGTAAAATGTCCTCTATATTTTGACCCCAATGTAGAATGTCCGTTTTTTTTGTCACGCATGTAGAACGACCGTCTATTTTGCCCCAAGGTAGAATGTCTGTCTATTTTGTCCCCAAAGTAGAATGCCCGTCTATTTTGTCCCCATTGTAGAATGTCCGTCTATTTTGTCCCAACTGCAAAATGTCCGTCTATTTTGTCCTGCATGTAAAATGACTGTCTAATTTGTCCCTCATATAGAATGTCCATCTAATTTGTCTCCCCGTGTAGACCAGTGGTTTCCAACCTATGGGGTGCAAGAAAGTTTTTAAAAAACAAGTTAGGGGGGGGGGAATCAAGCAGTTCTGGAAAATAGTGCATCTGTACTTGTAATAATCCGTTCCCACCCCTAACAAATAATCTGTTACTAAAGTCATTTATATTCTTCGCCAAACATACCTCTGTTACAAATCACATCTATTTTTCCCAAACACACCTCTGTTACAAGTCACATCTATTCTCCCGCAAACATACCCCTGTTACTAAAGTCATATCTATTCTCTCCTAAACGTATGTGTTACCAAAGTCATAACTATTCTCCGCGAAACTATTCTCTACTGACATACATGTGCGCCTAAAAAGCACCCATAATACCGGCTTTTGACACAGCCTAGGACAGTTGCTGGAAGCCGCTATTTCCCTCCAGTCAGCAACACCTTCGAGTCTGCAAGTAGGCCACAACCAGACTGCCAGTGTAATTTGCTTTTCTACATTCGCCGTTAGCTCCTTGCTAACTTCCTTTTGTAGAGCCAGGAAACCTCACGGACATGTACCCCCTTGAGCGCAGTTAATTCCCACTTCAAATTACGGGACTGAATGAAACACACAATCTAAAGCCGTGAGCGGGCAACCGCGACGAATAACTTGGAGTAAACTGAATGCTGGCGAACTTGCAAGCATTCTTTGAGTTACTGCACAAAACGGGAAGACTTAATTCAAGTGCCTTTAGTAGAACAGACCCTCCTCCCGCAATCTAGGCCTCTACACAACAGGCGTTGAGGGCTGAATATCTCAACGGTAGCTCTGTATGTCACATCATTACTGGTGTGGAGTTCATGAGCCGTGCTTGACTTCGTTTCCTAATATCAATGTCTCGCATTTACCACCGGAATACCATTTTTAGTGGTTAGCCTTCAATCAAGTACATCGCTGTGTTCATCATCATCAGCTACATCCTGTACATCGCCGTGTTTATCATCTCTTTACATCCAGAGTACCGCCGTGTCCATTGCCACCTTACATCTAGAACATCGCCGTGTTCATCCTCTCCTTACATCTAGAACATCGCCGTGTTCATCCTCTCCTTACATCTAGAACATCGCCGTGTTTATCCTCTCCTTACATCTAGAACATCGCCATGTTCTTCATCTCCTTACATCTAGAACATCGCTGTGTTAAATATATCCTTACACACAGCACATCGCCGTGTTCATCCTCTCCTTACGTCCAGAATATCACCATGTTCATCATCTCCTTACATCCATAACCTCGCCGTGTTCATTATCTCCTTACATCCAGAACATAACCGCATTTATCATCTCTCTTCATCCAGCACATCGCTGTGTTCATCGTCTCCTTACATTCAGCACATAGTTGTGTTCATCATCTTCTTACATTCAGCTCATCGCAGTGTTCATCATCTCCTTACATTCAGCACATCGCTGTGCTCATCATCCCCTTACATCCAGCACATCGCTGTGTTCATCATCATCTTGCATTCAGCACATCGCTGCGTTCATCATCTCCTTACATTCAGCACATCGCTGTGTGCATAATCTCCTTACATCCAGAACATCGCTGCGTTCATCATCTCCTTACATTCAGCACATCGCTGTGTTTATCATCTCCTTATATTCAGCGCATTGCTGTGTGTATCATCTCCTTACATCCAGAACATCGCTGTGCTCATCATGTCCTTACATTCAGAACATCGCCGTGTTTATCACCCCCTTACATCCAGCACACTGCTGTTTTCATCCTCTCCTTACATTCTACAGTATTTTTATGGGCCGCTGTTCCTTCAAATCTCTTGTTTTCTCACAGTCCTTCTGTGCAACTGCTTCTCATCATTTCGCATACGTATGGCTGGTAAATTCTTCAGCTAACCTCAGTTTCAATTTTACAACAAACGAGTCACTCCATGGTTGCCCCGTTCCTATGCCACTGAATCTCCTTCCCCGTCTCTTGTGATACCGACTGTCGTTTGAGCAGTGCCAGACGCTTACACACGCGTTAAATGCACATCGCGGCCGTCGGAAGTGCTAACCCAAACAGTGCGACACTAGAAATGCAGTTCATTGTCGATGGAAACAACAGTTACAACAGATGAGTTGTTGCAGCACAAATAATCGTATGAGGCAGTGTTCTTCAAGCAACGCGTCGCGGCCCAATGGTGGGCCCTAGAAAAGTCTAGTTGGACTGACAAATAATTGGATAATCATGTATTGTGTTAGGATGGGTCGGTTTTTTTTTTCTCCTTAATGATTGTATTATATTAACACCTCACAGAAAATATTCTATTAAAACCCCAAGGACAAGACTCAATGAACAACTCAAAGATGATAATCTGATAATACATCAAAGATGAAAATCAATTAATAATCAAATATTAGAATCTTTTAACACTTCACAGATGAGACTTTAGTAACACCTCAAAGATAAGAATCAATTATTACCTCAAAGATGAGAATCAAAACCTTAAGGATGAGAATTAATGAACAACTCAAGAATAAGAATTTGGAACCTCAAAGATGAGAAATCAATTAATACGTCACCGATGAGAATCAATTAATACCTTAAAGATGAGAGTCAATTAATACCTCAAAGGAGAAAAAAAAAAATAAAACCTCAAAGATCCATTACAATCTCAAAAATAAGAACCAATGATCACTGCAAAGATGGAAAATCAATCGCTGCTTCAAAGATGAGAATCAATCACTACAAAGATGAGAATCAATCGCTGCTACAAAGATGAGAATCAATCACTGCTACAAAGATGAGAATCAATCACTACAAAGATGAGAATCAATCACTACAAAGATGAGAATCAATCACTACAAAGATGAGAATCAATCACTACAAAGATGAGAATCAATCACTACAAAGATGAGAATCAATCACTACAAAGATGAGAATCAATCACTACAAAGATGAGAATCAATCACTGCTACAAAGATGAGAATCAATCACTACAAAGATGAGAATCAATCACTACAAAGATGAGAATCAATCGCTGCTACAAAGATGAGAATCAATCACTGCTACAAAGATGAGAATCAATCATGCCTCTGCACTGTTGAATCGCTCTCAAAGGGCTTTATATGTATACTGGTGAACTAGTAAGATCTCAAACGGGTGGTCTACCATAAAGCCGTAAAGCTGAGAAGCAATAAAGATAAAAATCAACATATCAAAGATGAGAATAAATTTAATACCTCAAAGATGAGACTCAATCAATACTTCAAAAATGAGAATCAAGAAAAGATTCTAAACCGAACGAAAAGTATACTATAAAGATGAGAATCAACACAACAAAGATAAGAATTAATTTAATACCTTAAAGATGAGAATCAATCAATACCTCAACGATGAGCATCAATATTCACCTCAAAGATAGGAATAAAAAAAGATATAAAAACGAACGAAAAGTATATTATAAAGATGAGAATCAACACATCAAAGATAAGAATCAATCACACTTCCAATATGAGAATCAA